TATACATATTTTCACTGTTGGATTTTTAAAGTTTCCACATTTTGTAGTCTTTTCCGCACGTGATCTTAGCTTACTTTATAAAGTACTCTGTTCTGAAACGTGATATTTTGATTTAGGAAAGTTGCTTTGTGGTTCTTTTATGCGGCATGACTCGGATGTTTTCGTTTATTACAAAGGAGCAGCAGGAAACGTGAACAGGAAATGTGAAAGTGGGACTAATGTGATACAGGGCCAGATGTCACAATGTCGTGATTTCCTCAACGAGAATTTTGTTATATTTGATTGGGTTAATATCACGAAAAACCCAAACTGATACATCTGTGACAAATTTACTCCAAATTAATTTTTTGACCTGCAAAATCAGTAAACTGGTACACCCATGACAAATTTACCCTCCGTTAATTTCCGTTAAATTTTACCTTTAAATTGCTGAGTTGGATGACACGTATATGTTGATGGGTGTACAAATTTGGGGTTTTACCCCTTCATTTATCACATGTTTATCAATTTGTGATTTTTCATAGTATTAATCCAATTTTACGGAAGGTAAATTTGTCACAAGTATATTAATTTTGAGTTTTTGGTCATCAAAAAATTAGTTTAAGATAAAATTATCAAAAGTATAACAGTTTGGGGTTTTTTTAATCAAAAAATTAATTTAAGATAAATCTATTATAAGTATATCAATTTGGAATTTTTCATCGTGTCCCTCCTATTTGATTTACATTATGTACTCTTTGGCATTGTGAATTTTCTTTTTGATTTGTTCGCCATTGAGTAGACTTTTAGGTCCTGGGGCATAGCCTCAGGAAGCTCCTCCTAGCGATTGGACGACAATGTCAGTTCAAGCTGCTGCCCCCATCACCCCATTGGACACCATCCAAACTCGCTTACAGGTTCTCTTCAAAGGTTCCACTGTTGATATTTCGCTTATGTAAAATCTAACTAAGAACTGAATGGAGGTTGTGACTCTTGATATTCCGTTAATAACTGTTGAATTATTATCCCACATTACTTGATAACGAATTATAAATGCTTTTTATATTTATGTGATCTCTCTTCACTTATTAATTTAATCTTTTGAATTGGACATTTTATCATGGTATCAAAGTCAGTGCTATCTCATTAGTCAAATTTAGCTTGGGGGATGTCATGCTGATGCAAATCTGTGCACATCTTAACTCTTCAGCCACCTTCTTTTGCAAAAAAAGGGCGTGGTGCACATCTTAATTTCTTGGCCCCCCCTTCTTTCGCGACTAAATGGTGTCTAATTGGTGCTTTACGAAATGAGTAGAATTATTTGGGTGTTCACGTTGCCAATTTTATAGGCGGTTCTAACTCTTGATGTCTGCTCGAAATAAGCATATCCTCTTCATCCGTATCTATCAAATTAGATCTAGATGCCTATCTGCAGATGGTGTTACCTGCTATGCACCCTCATGGAAAATGGAAGTCATTACCCAATGTTTTCGCCTGTCTCTTGATTGTCTTTTTACCGCGCCAGTCGTTCTTATTCCTTTCTTGTCTGGCTCGAACATCCTTGTATTACAAAATGATACATCCCCAGTCTTACAATTTATCATGTTCTTTGTCCAAAGCGCTTGTGTTCAAAAGATGAATAGGCTTGGTACTATTCTGACTGAGAAACTGAACTTGTGTACTGAGACGCTCTCCATGAGTCAAGCTGGACTATCTTCGGCAGGATCCTCCATAGCTTTCAAGATAAAACTACGAGTAGCTTGGTAGAGATAGGAGGGCAAATAACATCCTTTAAACTAGGGCCTTCAAAGGATGACATTCTATATCCACATTAATTTGCTGGATTTTTTGTGAATGCCTAGTTGTCAGGCTGAGATTCTTCAGCATAGCCTTCACTTTTCTTTCCATTCTTCGATTTGTTATCATTGACAATAACAAATGATTGATAGTATCTGTAGCATTCCCCTATCCTGTTTGCTTCACAATGTAAGTATATCCTTAAGGCAGCAATGTAGATGGTTTCTCTATATCGGTTCTTGTCTTGGTAAATTTTGTTTCATCCATCTTTTCCTCGTGGAGCTCCATTTATTTTATTGCTCAAATTTGCGTAGATTCTTTTGAACAACGTTACGCATTAGTTGACTCTTTTTGCCTGTGGTCTCATATACATAAGTTGCCTTACGATTTTCGAGGGGTTTTCTCATCTATAGCTAAATAACTCTTCCTCAAGCATTAGATGAAAGAAGAAACACCTGCTTAATTACAGTATCCGAAACTTGATTACCCATGTTTATCATATCATATCTGTGTTCTCTACCGAAAAATGAAGACTAAAGGGTTTCGTGGAAGTGCGAAGATCTCTCATCCAATAAACAATCCTTTCCGTCTAGAAAAATGGATCTTGAACTAAAAATATATATTCTTTCCTGGCTTAGGACGAAATGGTGATCTCAATCTTATCTATCTAGCAAAGTTACCCATTTGAGATGACTCTAAAAGGGCTTTTCAAATTGAAAAGGAATATTCAGAAAGTCATTTGGATTAAAGATCGAGTTTTTCATTAAAAAAATGGATCGCACTTTTTCCACTCCTAATACAGCTAAAACACTCATTCTCATAATGTTTTGATAATATTAGCCTTTATGGATCCCACTTTTTTTAACCATTCTTCATTGGCTTTTCTTCTTTCTCTTATTTCGCAGGTCCACTTTCGTTTTTCTCATTTATTTCTCTTTGTTCTCTCTCTTTCTAAAACATCTCTTTCATGTCAACAATCTGTGTTGAATCCCAAATTTGCAAAAACTAGGGGTGAGCATGATTCCAGGGTAGAACCTAGAACCTGAGAACCTGACCAGTGGGAACATATAGGTTCCAGGTTCCAAGATATACAGAGTAAGTTTTAGGTTCCAAAAATTAGGGAAACTATTTCGATAGGTAGGTTCTAGATTCTAGGTAGGTGGAACCTGGAACCAAAAACCTGAAACATAAACAAGTTTTTTTGTGTTTTTTCTTGATCTATATCTTCACGTGATCTTGCGGTACTTCATGGCGTTAGATGATAAGTGTATAATCTGGAATCACTAATATGAACTTTCATTTTATAACTTGTTAATGTTTCATATTCTTCGTGTATCTAAATATAAGTTGTGGTTAGTGGATTATAGCAGCAAATGGTGGTCATTAAAGATGATGATTCACTGCAATGGTTTAATTAATAATACGGGTGGAATTTGGGTAGATCCTGGAACCCACCCTCAAACTTGTGATAGGATAGGTTTCAAGTTCCAAAAAATGAGGAACCTATTATCATGGATGGAACCTATACAGAACATGGAACCGCTCACCCCTAGTATCGATTCACGCAATAACTTCTCATTTTAATTATATTTGTTTAAACAATCATGTCAGGGAAACTAGTCTTTTGTAATCTCTTTGGTGAATAATAAGCTTATTCAGTATTGTTATGTTCATTTTCGTTTTGTTTAACTAAAAATGAAATAAATAAATAAAAAGAACCCGTTAGACCCTAGAACCTACCTTAGAACCTGTAACACGGTAGGTTCTAGGTTTCAGATTTCGACGGGTAAGTTCCAGATTCTAAAAAATGAGGAACCTATACCCGATGGTAGGTTCTAGGTTCCATGTGAAACCTGTAAGGAACCCGAAACAGCTCACCCTTAGCAAAAACCTCCTCCTCACCCAACTTATCCTCTTCCATCGCCATTTCTTCAACTCAAAGTTCAACCGTAAGTAAAAAAATCAATCTCATATCTCTTCACTCCCATTCCATCCCTTTCGCTCCGTGTTATTCGTTATCCCATTTCGCATCAAACTCTTCGATTGATTAATCATGAAGACAAGAAAACAAAACCCCATTAAAGATTCAAATTGAGGAGTTGAAGCTCTGCCCAAAACCTCGTCAAGCTCATCAGAAATGTCTACTTCTTCGTCTTTGTCTTCTTGGTCCTAATTGTCACTTTCATTGCCGATTCGCTATCATCTACTAGCCTCCGGATATATGGCTCGAATCTTCCCCCGTCTCACTAAGTTGTTTATGCAAACTGAAAAATGCGACCGACAAGGATTTGCCCCTCTTCGCCCTCGCGGTCTCTCTAACTTCCACATCCATCTCAATTACCAAGTTGCCGCCGCCGGTGATTGAGAGGACTGAAGAAGTGATTGTGAACTCAACTCTCAAGTCTGAGCCCTTATGCGATGAGCCACCGTCAATTGTTCAAATCCCTGTGTTCTAATAGGTGTTAAGTTCAATGCAGGAGCCTTTAGGTCTATTGTGTTCATAGGTATCAAACTCTGGTTGACGATTAAAAAATCGATGAGTGCGACATGGCGTAGATGACAAGTGACAAAGATAGACCACAAAAGATAGTGTTCTTTTTTTTTTGACAGATACCACGAAGGCTTGAACCATGATCAAAATTAATAGGGATAGGAGAGAAGTAACAAAGAATGAGGAAAATGGGACCCAAGAGAAAAAATAAAGAAGTAAACAAATGGGACATCACAACCAAGTAAAAAAGGATGCTTAAAAAGATAGGACCCACAAAGGTTGAAATTGTCAAAATATTGTGATAGGGAGTGTTTCAACCATGATTAGAGTGAAAAAAGCGCGGCCCAAAATATAATGCGGATCTATTCATTTGACTACAGACTAGAGCCATATGTTACATAGAATAATGGATTTGTCTTGACCACTACATGATTTTTGGAGCGATAAGTCGGCAATTTTCCTAGAATGCCAAACCCATGCACGCGGACTAATCTTGCTGCAAACCTGATTACAGGACTTCAACACTGGCAATCACTTGATATTCCTCAATTATCACCCTAAACTATGTGACTATCAATTCTTACTTATCTCTCTCCATGCACTCGATCTCAATCTAACATCGATCGGAATTTGCGTACATTCCCGAGGAAAATACGCCAACTCATATGTCTCAATGGGGAAAAAAAAGCCCTAATCCATCCTCGATTTTTAATAGCAAATCCTTGCCATAAGCAACATCAAGAAAAGAGTAGGAACAGTTAAACTTGAATGTCCTTTCCTTAACGAGCTTGGGGATTTATATTATCTCAGAGAAGACAGCCTCAGACAGCAACTTCTGTGAGTCGCAACTAGTCGTACTCGCATCATAAACATCACTGCTACTGGTCATCGTCGCAGCTGCCCAACTGCTCTTCTAACCATCACTATCGCTAGTGCTGAACACCTCATCGCTGCCGTCCATCGCATTGCCTCTGATCGGAGCCACGTCATCGTCGCTGTCATTGCTGTCGTGCACTGACGCACCCAAATGGCCTATCACCCCCTGCTCAGCGCTCACCTGTAGCTGCAGTGCGAACTTGAGGCCCCACGCAACGTCGTTCATGGATGGCCGCTTGGCCCCCTCATCCTGCAAGCAGCTCATGGCGATCTCGCAGAACTTGTTGAGGCACTCGGGGGCGATCGCCCGCTTCAGGTGCGGGTCCACGATCTCCTCTACTGCCCCTCTCTTGCAGCAGCTCTGGGCCCAGGCGGCCAGGCTGATCTGATTCTTCGGGGCCATCCGGTTCACGGCGGGCCTCGCACACAGCACCTCGAACAGCACCACGCCGAAGGAATAGACATCGGACTTGTCAGTCAGCTGCTGGCGCCTGCAGTACTCCGGGTCGAGGTACCCGAAGGTGCCCTTCACGACCGTGCTGACGTGCGTCTTGGACACGCTCGTGGGCCCGACCTTCGAGAGCCCAAAGTCGGCGACCTTGGCAGCCCACTTGTCGTCGAGCAGGATGTTGGTCGTCTTCATGTCGCGGTGTATGATGTTATGCTTGGCACCGGTGTGGAGGTAGTGGAGCCCACACGCGGCGCCCGTGCAGATCTCGAGCCGCTGCTTCCAGGGGAGTGGGGGATTATCGGTGTTGTAGAGATGGTCGCGGAGGGTACCGCGCACCATGTAGTCGTACACGAGGATCATCTCTCCCTCGTCGCTGCAGAACCCGATCAGGGAGACGAGGTTGAGGTGCCGGAGCTGCGAGAGCATCTCGATCTCCGTCCCGAACTCGTGGAGGCCCTGCTGCGATCCCTGGTTTAGCCGCTTGATCGCCACTTGGGTGGCCCCGCCATCGACGTAGCCCTTGTACACGTTGCCGAACCCGCCCACGCCTATAATGAACACCTGGTCGAAGTTGTTCGTGGCCTCTCTGATCTCGGCCAGCGAGAAGTGGCGGCACAGATCCGACGGCAAGGATGACCCCTGGATCGTTGTTGACTTGGTCGACGCGCAGGAGACCAGGCCCCACCACCAGGCGCCGTCCCTCGAGGTCGAATACTTCCCTCTGTTTCCTTGCCGGTAAAGGAAGAAAGCCAGGAGAGCGAGCGCCGTGAATCCTGAAGCTACGCCAGCAATGGTGGCGATCTTTGCTGTTTTGCTGTGGTTCGACGATCCTTTGCTCGCCGGTGAAAGCACCGGCTGATTACCTGGGACTGGATCCGGGTTCAGCCCTGCGAGATTCTGGCCTGGATTGCTGATCTTGAATATTTCGAGGCCATTCAAGATGGCATCAGAGTAACGAGTATAACCATCCGGAAGCGCGCCCAACGCCACGGAGAGGTTGCTTCTTTTCTTTTGGCCGTCATCCATGTATACTGCATAATCTCTATAGACAGGCATGCCCTTCCCGCTCCAACTAATGACATCCGCACGATTTTCAACCAGTTGTGAATCTATGAAGATCTCGAAAAGCCTATCTCTGGGCTTATTTATCTCTGTCTGGAACTCGCAAAAGTGTAACCTGACCAAGTAGTAGAAGTTTGTATCCACCTCGATGGACCACGTGAGCTTGTAGCTCAGATTAATTTTTTTGTCCATCCCCATTGTCCTCGCCGTTTTGTACACGGCATCTGGAGCCATGTAGTTTGGCGCTTGGTCACTGTAATTGAGTTGGATAGTTTCGTTAACTGGTAAAACTCCAGCCATCGAAGAAGTCACGTAGGCCTCATCTGCTTCCCATGTCCTGTACATTCCCGTGTCACCAGCTGAAGCAACAAACTGTCCTCCCACGTTCAAGCGCTTCACCATTTCTAGAGAACTAGTGAATCCGGAGGGATATGGCATCGCCTGGCCTGCAAACGTGATTTTCTCGTTTGAGTCGATGGTTGTGTTGTAGTAGAGACGTTCGGGCATGGAAACGACTTCGATTCCATTCACAAAAGCATACGCATCTGAATAACCAGGAGTCGGAGCGAATGTTATGTTCAATATCCGGTCGGCTCCGACAGTTAAGCAGAACTCTTTGTAGAAGCTCACAGAGCTAGTGTTGTCGGAAAACAGTGAAGCACTGAAGTTGCGAAGCAGAGTGCAGCCGGCTGCCTCGACCGAGAAGAAGGAATCGGTGCGGCGAAAATTGAGGTAATCAGAAGGGAAGAAGTGGAGGCGAACGAATTTGGGCCCTGCATGGACGTGGAAGGTGTAGGCAAACTCGGAGCGAGAGATGCGAGCAGTGTAGTATAGGACAGGGCCAGGGAAAGCCGAAGATGAATGGCTTGCATTTGCAATGATAGAGGAGTGAGTTTCATCAATTAGATTGTAGTTCGAACCGTTGTTGCCATCTCCGTTCCAAGTCCGATTGGACACAGAGGAGCTGCTGGAGGAGCCGCAGTCAACGGCAATATCGTCGGTCGGCGAGTATACACCAACGTTGTTGCCAGTGACCGAGAACGTGAGTGCTTTAAGCGAGATGGAGATGAAGAGGAATAAGAGATGTGGTGGTTTCCCGTTCTTCATCTGCCCCTTTGACCACAGAGAGGAATAGCAGTTGAATCGATCAAAAGAAGTTCACAAGGAGAGTGGAATCCTGGAGATGAGATGAAACAGTTTTAATCATTGGGAATTAGGAAGGAGCGAGGGAAGAGAAGATCAGCACGATTGACAAAATTAGTGGGAGACCAAAGTCGTCGCTATTGAAAAAAAAAAAAAAAAGTCGTCGCTATGGTATCAAGTCTACTTTGTCGTGTTTGAAGGAGCGTATATTGCGAATCGATCCAAATCAAAGTCACGAAAATTCCACATAGAATTTGATTTGTAGTAGCAAGTCGTTACAGTTTGATTTACTCTAAAGGTTGGAAAAGGAGTCAACCCACCCAGCTGGCGTTTGGACGGTACCGTTATAAAGCTTCACATATCAGCAGCCTCTTAGTCCATCAGAACAGGCTGTGCAGGATAGATCCATTGATGCTTCGCCGAGACTTCTCTAAGGTAAAATGTTAGTGGACTTGCAGGACAGCTTTGAATGAAAATCTTAGGCTTTGTTTAGCGAAAAATATAATATTTCTGGAAAATATTACCCAAAAAATTATTTTCGGGGAAAATAACAATATTTTCTTATATTTTGCTGAAACCTGAAAATGAACTGAAAAATATTTTCCGCCATTTGATATGATTTTTCTAAATAAACATATACTATTCGGATGCTAATAACTTGTGTATGGGTAATCGGGGAATCGGGTCCAAGCACCAAATTCCCAAGTCCGGCCTCGATGGACCCCAACCCGTGCGCCAGGATCAGGGCATGGGCACTTGCGTCCTAGGCGCGGCCTTTGTGGACCCAAGCCCATGTGTTTGGGATCTGAGCTTGGGTACTGGGATCCTGCGCTCGGTGTATATGGAACCGGGCGGGTGCCGAGGCATCGGGGTTTCAAGCCTGGCCTCAATGGACTCAGGCGCGGGTGCTAGGGACTAGGGTCCGGGCTTGGCCTCGATGGGCCCGAGCGCAAGCGCTGGGGATTAGAGCACGAGTACCAAGGTCCCGGGCTCGGGTGCCGAAGACCTAATCCTGGACGCCAAGGACTTGGGAATCGATGTTAGGATTTCTGTACTCAAACGTAGAGTTTCGGGTTTAAGCGACGATATCTAGTCATATTTTAGAAAAAAATTTCTAATTTTTTAAAGAGGAAATCGTTTTCCTAAATTTAAACATAGATTTTCTATTAACTCATTTTCCTAAGCAAACCTAATGTCGGAAAATGAGAAAAATGTTTTCTCGAAATATTTTTTTCGCGAAACAAATGGATCCTTAAGATTACTTGACATTTTTAGGTTTTCATCCTTGGCCATCACATTATGCGTGCTTTTTTTTCGTTCTGATTACTGCTTTAATGTATTTCTTCTAGAACTCCTTTATTGTTTATTGAGGAGAACCTCGAATGGCAAACCTCTTATAATAAATGGAGATATATTGTGACAATTGGAATTTTAATCGTATTTATATGACATTCGGAAATTTTCGTATCCGGTAATGATACTTAGATCATAAAGCTAAGTATTATTTAGCTTAGAATTTGGTGGACACGTAGAAATCTTAGTTTGGATCATAAATTTTGCAAGGTGCGGGGATGATTTTCGTGAATAAAATTGTTCCGAGTTCGACGTATTGAAAATTTATAAACGTAGATGTACGCGTTAATAGTAGTGCAGTATTAATTAATTTACCGTTGTCTTAGTAATTGATGGGCATATATCATTAGTTTAAACTTTAGTTAATTAGTGATAATAATTAATTATTTTTAATATTGTGTTAAAGGTAGAAGAAGTTCTGTTTTCTTTATAATTTCTCACAAAGACACCTCTTAAGACACATTAACTCACGTGGCATTTGGAGGTTTCATGCATGGCCACATGCCACTCTTAAACTTAGCCTCTTGCACTAATATGACACATAACCATAAGCCATCATCACCCTTGGCTATTAGTCATCCCTAATATGTCTTAACTTCTCACACTTGGCCGTAGATTAAGTGAAGATTTGCCACCCGTGACTTCATGCATTCTTCCACTTAAAATTTACTCCTACACAGCACTTTAATCTTGGTACCATCGAAGGGAATTTTTCATTTTGGTTGTAACTCTCTTACTCACCTTCAAACTTTCAAAAAAATACTCTACTTCAACCACTTTCCGATCCAAAACCTACAAGGTGATTTTAACTTTGGATTGTTCAGATTTTGCACAAGATAAGTGAAAACTTTAGAGGTTAAGTTAGTTCCATCTACTTAACACTCTTAACTTGGTTGGTTGAGATATGTCACTTTGATGTGCTATAATGTTGTGGACATGGTGATTGTTGGATTCGTTTTGTTGGTTTTGTACATGTTCAAAAGGTGTGTGATTTGTTATTTTAAAGTATAGTATAATTGGCAAGTGAAATTGTTAAATTTGAATTTGGAAATGGGTTAATACCACGAAAAACTCCAAACTATTTTTTTGACCACAAAAAACCCCAAACTGGTACACTTGTGATAATTTTACCCCGACCTATTTTTTTGACCATCAAAATGCCCACACTGATACACTTGTAACAATTTTACCCTCGAACTAATTTTTTGACCAACAAAAACTCCAAACTGGTACACATGTGATAAATTTACCCTTCGTTAGTTTCTGTTAAATTTTATCGTCAAATTGCTAAGTTTAATGACACGTAGTAATTGACAGGTGTACCGGTTTTGGATTTTACCCCTTTGTTTGTCACAAGTTTACCAATTTGTGATTTTTCGTGATATTAATCCAATTTAACGGACACTAACGAAGGGTAAATTTGTCACAAATGTACCAGTTTATGGTTTTTAGTGGTAAAAAAATTAGTTCGAGGGTAAAATTATCACAGGTGTACCAGTGCAGGGTTTTTGGTGGTCAAAGAAATAGTTCTGGGTAAAATTATCACATGAGTACCAGTTTGGGGTTTTTGGTAATCAAAAAAATAGTTTGGGGTAAATTTGTCACAGGTATACTAGTTTGGGGTTTTTTGTGGTCAAAAAAATAGTTCGGGGTAAAATTGTCACAAGTGTACCAGTTTAGGGTTTTTCGTAGTACTAACCCTTTGAAAATCTCATCCTTGAAGTGATTATTGAATTCGTCTTGCTGGTCTCATACATGTTTAAAAGGTAATAGGTCGTTTTTCTTAAAGTGGGGTACATTTGGTAAGTGAAAATGATGAATTTGAACTTGGAAAAGTCATATTTGTAAATTCAAACTTGGGATATGTTCACTAGAAGTCCTAAAACTTATCACAAAAGTACAATTGAGTCCTAAAACTTGCCAAAGGTGCAATCGAGTCCTAAAACTTGTCAAATTAGTTCAATCGAGTCCTAAAGTTAACACCGTCCAATTTGACTAACGGAAAATGCTGACGTGGCTTTTTTTATTTTTTATATCCCATGTGGCAATGACGTGGCTTTTTTTAATCATCATTTTAATATTAATTTTATTTAAATTAAATTTAAAAATAAGCTAAAATTTAAAAAATAAACAGCAGGACGACAGTCGAGGAGGGAGGGCTTACCCTCCCCCCCCGGCCGCCCCCCCGCCATCATCGAGAGGGGTGGGGGGACGGCAGACGGGGGTCGCAGGCCCCGGCCAACGACCCTTGCGGACGGCAGGCGAAGCCTGCGGGCCCCCCCAGATCGGGCAAGGGTTGCCGGCCTTCACCCAGACCTGGCCAAGGGTCGCTAGTGGCGACCGACCCCCATCAGATCTGGGGGAGGGCTGCCACTGGCGACCCTCAGCCAAGTCTGGGCGAGGGCTGGTGACCCTCACCTAATCTGGGGGAGGGCCGCGACCTCTCGCCTGCCGTCGGCGAGGGTCGCCGGCCCTTGGCCAAGGCCCGGCGACCCCCGCCTGTCGTCTCTCCACCCTCGTCGGCCCCTCCCAACCCGCCAGTCCTCTTTCTCCTATTTTTTATATATTTTTAAAAATTTTAATTTAAATAAATATAGTATTAAAAATCAAATTTTGGACAAAACGATGTCGTTTTAGCCACGTAGGAGAGAGAAAATATTAAAATGTGCTACGTCAGCATTTTCTATTAATAATTTTGACGGTGTTAACTTTATGACTCATTTGAATCAATTTGACAAGTTTTAAAACTTGATTACACATTTTGCAAGTTTTAGGACTCAATTGCACTTTAATGACAAGTTTTAGGACTTCTAGTGAACATATCCCTTCAAACTTAGCCGTCGTTCATAAAATCTATTTTTTAAACCCAAGTAAATTTTACTCTCAAAATCTGTATATATCTATTTCCAAACCCAAGTAGATTTGACTCTCAAAATCTGTATATATCTATTTCTAAACCTAAGCATATTTTACTCTCTAAATCTAGATATACTTATTTATGAATCCGAGTAGATTTTACTCTTTGAACCATAATATATTTATTTTCTAAACTTGTGTATATTTACTTTCTAAACTTGAGTGGATTTACTTTCTAAACTTGAACAGATTTACTTTTGAGTCTGATCGCAGATTTCTTCTTACTTATTTGCTTGAATAAAGTATTTCATTGCTTTAAGAGATATGGGATGTGATAAGAAGGAGAGTATATGCAAGTGAATACTTATTTATCATGACTTGCATGAGGATAATATATTTTCTGTCACCTACAAATCAATGGTGATGATGCCCCGTATGTCGGGATGCCTCATAGGTTGGGATGCCTTGGAGGGTGTACTGGGATGCCTCGGGAGTCGAGATGCCCAATAAGTTGGGATGCCCCAGAGGGTGAACCGGGATGCCTCGGAGTTGGGATGCCCCATGTGTCGAGATGCCCTAGGAGAGTTCGAGAGGAGAAGTAACGAACCTAACGCATGAATATAAATGCCATAGGTTATGCCACATGCTTGTGTCTGAACTAAAATATTGTGAAGTGATTAAGTAATTAGATTATAATGGCATATTCAAATGGGAAAGGTATAACGTTTATTTATGTTCTCAGCATACTTATTGGTTGTTATGCATTTACGTTGTTTGTACCAGGTGAAGTGATAAGATGATTTTCCTAACTTAAAACTAGAAAT